TAGGCGAGGGACGAAAGTAGGGAAGTACCAACCAAAGGTAATACACTCTTATTTTTTAAATGCTTCCTCTCTCTCTCTCTCTCTCTAATTAGTCAAATTCCCATGTCAGGTACCACAATCCTCAACGCCATCAAGTCCACTGTGAGCCCCTCAACCCAAGTGGTCTTTGAAGAAAACCCAAGCGCGAGCTCCCTTAAGGGCCAGGACTATGATTATGCTGTCGTGGTTGTGGGTGAGCCCCCTTACGCCGAGACAAACGGTGACAGCATGAATCTGACCATGCCCGAACCCGGTCCCACAATCATAAAAAATGTGTGTGGATCAGTGAAGTGCGTTGTTGTGGTGATATCAGGAAGGCCTATTGTACTCCAGCCTTTCCTACAATATGTTGACGCATTGGTTGCAGCTTGGCTTCCTGGTACTGAGGGCCAAGGAGTGGCTGATAATCTTTTTGGGGACTACCCATTTACTGGAAAGCTTGCTAGGACGTGGTTCAAGAGTGTAGACCAATTGCCCATGAATGTAGGTGATAAGCACTATGATCCCTTGTTTCCTTTTGGTTTTGGGTTCACAACTGAGAAGACTTCAAGGTAGAGAAACTGGGAGTTTGTTTGTTGTAAGTCGGGGTGAAGGGGATTAATCACTTATTTCTCAGGATATTGGTGTAAAGGATGAAGAATACATTTTAATTTATTGAGTTTCAAAGGAAATGAATGAGTTCTATATATGCATTATTAAGAAAAAAAGTTTGTTGACTTGTTGAGTTCTCTTATGTATAGTAAGAGGCATTGTTGTCGGATTTGCTTGTGGTAGAATTGATAGAAATAAAAAAAAGCACAAGAAACACAAAGATTTGGATTAGACAGTTAGGAGTGAGTTGGTAATAAATATCACAAGTATTCTCATCCGCTCAAATTAACATGTGATATTATTGTCGGTTTTTTATCAAGGATATCAACCATCCCATTAAATTGGATGGTTACTCGTCATATATGTAAGGGAAAACTTTATGTAGAGCCGAGGCTCTAAACAATCAAATTTGAGTTTATCTCAAAAATTTCACTAGAAGAGGTTGTTTTGATG